CCAAATGTGTCTCCGGAGCTAGAGCAGGTCGTCCGCTAACCAAAGGGTTGGTCGTTCGATCCCCTGCTGCTCTAGTCTGCATGTTGACGTGTCCTTGGGCAAGATACTGAAGCCCCAAATTGCCTGTGACGGTAGTGCTGGCAGTGTATGAATGGTGCGTGATAGAATAAGCGCTGTGCGTAGAAGCTCTGTATGAATGTGTGAATGTGATTTGTACTGAAAAGCTCTGAGTGGTCGATAATATAGTCAGTTCCCATAATGCATCTCACGGTTTTCTTTCTTCTTCTTTATAATAGCGTTCTCTTTTCCTGGTCAAGGCAGAGAAGGTACGTCTTTCCAAGTCTGTACCACAAGTGAGTGATGCAGCTTTCTAATAAAGCTGTCATCTTGTGGTAGTTATTTCTTGAGAAAACAGCTATGACACATGTCGACTATACTCATTTTGAATTTCCTTAGAAAGCCGACCATATTGACATGATTATACTAATGAATACAAGGAATGTTGCTTTGATTTGAATATGGAGGAAGAATCTACATGTTTTGTACAAATGTTCAAAAATTACTCTTTCTGCATGGTTGCATGGGAACATTTTATGTCTGTGTGACCGAGGCATCGCACACCATAAATGGGGGTTGTTATAAATAAACATTTTCAGTTTTGTCGGGCTAGAAAGGACTTCCATAAGGGCACGCGGTGGCAGGAAATTTATATGGCGAAGTGGCGGTGTTGCAGCGCTCATTAGTTTGTCAGATATCGCGTTCCCCGTGGGGATTCGGCAGCCGCCTCCCGCATCGCCAAGTGAAGCGCTGACAGCTGTGACATCAAATCACTGTTTAAAAGCGTAACTCATCGCTACGACATTATGTCATCATAAAAAGAAGGCCATACCTGCAAGTCTCGGAGCAACAAGCTTCACGTCATGACAGCCAGCTGCACCAATCTGCGGCATGAAAGGTGTGGGTGGCAGGTGGGAGGCTTAAGGATCCGAGAGGTGGGAGAGACGGGAACGAGAGGTGTGGAAGCAAAGGGAATGTGGAGAGACGGCGGGAGGGCAGGGAGGAGTTTGAAGTGTTAAATGGAACGGAGGGAGTAAGACGTGAGTGACAAAGGGAAAGAAGAAAAAACGCACTGGCAGAGACACAAGAGGTTAAGGCAGAGAAAACAGATGGATGGAATGTGAATGAAGTTTGAACAGACAGTCTGTAATCTAATTTGAGACAAACTCCATTGGAAATTAATTTTCTGTCTGTGTTCACAAACACTAACATCTAACACACTTTGTCCGAAAACAAGGCTTAGGCGCGGATTCAACAGGAGCCTCTAAATCTCACCCAAAGCAGCCAGATGGCAGCCGACGCTTAGTGTTACCTCAAAGGCCCTGAACAGAGATGCATTCGTTATCATCGTGATATCTCCTCTCAAAGTGTTTTCTCAAGTAAAACTACACATTCCCAGGTGATCCAACTGTGACACTGATGCCGAAAAAGTACATGACGACAAGATGTAGCTTTGTCTCCGCAGTGATGTCCTACAGCTTGTGTTTGACATGTGGCTCACAAAGAGAACTGCTTTTTTATGATGTCAGTGCGCTGTGACTTTGACAAGCTGAGTCTTCAGTTTCGAGCGTGGGGTCTATCTTCTCCCCTTGCGTCACAGCAAAGTGTGTGGTTGACTTGTCTGAATGGTTATAAAACAGCAGGGGGTCCCCGACAATACCCCTGGGTACTTCACAGCTATTCCCCCCTTTAGTTTCAGCCGGCTCCATGCTGAGCTTGTTCTGTCAACTCGTATATCGGCCACGGTTTTGAAATTAAGAAAAGGACTTCTTCTCTTGATTTAACTCTTTTTTGTTTTTGTTTTATTCTCCAGCTTCTCAGATGTGTCAGATGAGACATTTGGCCTAATTCATTAATATTTTCAGTTTTTCTCTTAAATTCGTTTATTTGAAAACTCGAAGTCAGATTCATGAAGTGTTCTTAAACCTCACAATTGTTCTTATATTGATAAATGCCATTATCTTCACATTTTCCCAGTTGGCATATATATATAGGTAAGCGCTAATGCCCATAAAGGAATGAGATAGCAGCTTCTGAAAGTGAGAAGAACATCTAGGTATCAAAAATATCTAAAGAACAAATTAAAGTCGGCCGAAGACTTTAAAAATGTTAGCCTTTATTTGGTAGTGTCAGCAGTGGATATAAAACAAAAAATAAATGGGATGCAAATACACGTTCAGTGAATGCTGTATCAAGAGAAAGTCACAAAGTAGTTTGTGGTTTCATGTCACATTTGAAATATTATCAAAAAGCAGAGAGACCAAAAAGGAAAATGGAAAGGCAGACTTGCTCAGAGTTATCTGATCTGTACCAGCTTATGGAGCCATCATTGGAAACACAGCACTTGTGGGTGAATACATGAACACGTGTGTGTATACCCGATGCCTGTTGGGACGCAGCTTTGGAAAAACATTTTGAGATGATATTCAGTTTCGAGTCAGATCGATCATGTTGGATGGGCTGAATTTTTTACATATCTGTAATTGGGAAAACAAGCAATAACCATGTGTGTCAGGGACAACAGTGACACAACCCCAGTGCAGCTTACGGACCTGGGCGCTGTGTGTTTCAGTTATGGATTTCTATCTCAGGATTAATTATAAGCTATAAAGAACCTCATACCAGCAAAATACTGTAAATGATAAAATGGCAATTACATGACATTATATAACAGTAGAATTGAAGAAAACACAGCAATAAAAATTGTGCTCAAGCATGACAGCAGTCAAGAGCTCTTCGTTCTAACCTTTAAGAGCAAATCCCAGATAGAACATTTTGTGAAAATGTTTGTGAAAGCTATGTGAGTGGGTTTTTAGTAGAAAATTCTTCTGAAGAATGGTTGGTAAATGAGGCCCTTTATTCTCTGCAGATGAATTTGCAGTATAAGACCTTGACAGGCAAACTCATCTGCAGCAAACTCAGGAAAACAATGCACTGCAGGTTTCTGCTGCATCCAGACACTTTACCTCGACTTCTTCCCTTCCTTCAAAGTGTTCCCTTTGTCGGTGCACACACACTTTTTTTGCACATGGTTCAAACATGTTGTCCCGTGCAACAGTTGTGTCCTCTCATACAGGTGGTGCAATAATGAACCTGCCTGATGAATAAAAGTCTGTTTGCAGAGGAATTAGATCCTTCATTATAATAGATGATCCACATCCAGCCGAGGGGATTTGAAATCCGGCTCGCTCTCATCCAGAGCCAGCAGAGGATTTCACTGCAAATTGATGTGGTTCCTTTTACAATGTCCCCGCCTGAGTACTGATAGATCCCCAATAAATCAAGGCAATCACAAGGAGATATGGCAAAGACTTTGCAGTAAATCCCACCAGGATCATAAATGTACAGCGTCTAAATGTGTCTGTCCACACTGCCTGTCTGTGTGTTTCACGCACTCTGTCTTGTGATTGCTTTTTTTTTTTTTCTTAGTAGTTGTTCTTTCATTTCTTCAAACACTGTTGTGTCAACATTGATCCCATCATTATTTTAACTGTGCCGGCGCTGATTTGTGCCGTCACTTTAAATGTTCGCAGGCTTCCTGGATGATTGCGTCAAAGCATCAAGTGGAATTTAGCAACAGTGAAATCACAGAAAGAGGAATAGAGTGCAGAGTGCTACACATCACTGAGCGTGGCTCTCTGCAACCACTTGTTGCACTCGTGAGACTCAGTCCACTTTGACATCGCAGCCGGAGCTGTGCACAGACCTATGGAGCAAACACACTCTAGACTGTCTCTACAGCGTCATTCATTTCAATCTTATACACACCATTACAGTCTCTCCTGCAGAGACAAAAAAACATATTCTGTTACCACAGCTGGACCAGCATTCATTACTATGTGAAGATCCACATATTCCTCGGTTAAGACTGAAGACCAAAGGTAATGGGTCTTTGCTGCCAGGCCCCAGACCCTCTGGAACAGTTTACCTGAAGAAATCAGATTTAAAATGCTTTAGATCATCTCTCAAACTTACTTTTACCAAATGGCTTTTAATGAATTGTTTTTAGCTTTATTATTATTATTATTACTTTATATCCTGTTTCACATCCTGTATTTCCTTGTCCGATTGTGTACAATGCACAGATCAGTCACAACATTCAAACCAGTAACTGGCTTTAATCTCCAAAGTCTGATCATCAGTGTGATCTTTCATCTTTCAAAATTCCAAAAAGCAGAAGAAGATCAAAATTGGCCTGAGTGACCAGTGATTGATCAGTTGGACAAACCAGGAACCAATCATCAAAGTGGATTTATGTTCAGATAACACAACCATGCTTCATACATTTTTAGTGCAATACCCAGCCACTCTTCCATTTTAAAATATGTATTAGTCTACTTTTTATTGGTTGTGTATGAATTGGTTTGTGTGTTTGGTCAGAGTTTAAAATATTTTTTTCAGAAGTAGCACATCTAATCACATTGTACTGCTGTCTTTTGTATAACAACGTCAAAGGCTTTCTATTCTAATCTATTCAATGTGCAACCTTTAAATCATTGCACATAAGAACCACAGGCACTCTGTAAGAAGTAAAGAACCAAGCAGATCTTTTCTAAATAAATTCTCCCTTTAGGTCAAAAACCTTCAAGAAAGGCGACATCTCTTTAGATAGCCTGTGTCTGCTGAAATATTCTACCTCTCATCTCCACTGAGAATCACCACAGTCAGAATGTACCTGAATGTCCTGCTGTGGGGGCAACTGCCAAGTCCACTTACCACCATATCGATGATATTGTGTGTGTAGTGTTCCGGTCGGAAACAAAGGCAGGTGCTGTGGCGCTCGCTACCTGAGTGCCCCCGCGGCATCAAGACTGCACCGTTTAAAGGTGTTATACAGTGTTGTACTGTGTTATACTGTGTTGTTCTGTAATATACTGTGTTATACTGTGCCTTTCTCCTTGTCGAATCGGATTATTCCACCCACATCTGCTTTACATCCAAAGCTGTTGCGGTGCTTGTGTCGACCAGCAGGTGGAGAAGTTTTGGAGTTTTTTATTTTTTGGGACCCTCTAAACCAACCATCCCCCCGCCCCTCCCTGTCCCGCCTCTGTCTGTGTCATGCTGCTCCTGGTTAGTTCCTGCACCAACTTCATTCCACTGCACATAGGGAGAACACATGTTGGACACTTAACAAGAGGCAGGACATGCAGACAGAGTAGAGGAACAAAGCTCTCTCCAGACTGGACTCATTCTCTCTGTCCTTGGAGTTTTCTATCAAATTCAGTTCTTTATGTGTTCACATCTCTGTGTCAAAGTACAAGACAGTATCTGTGTGAGGTGTGAATGGGATTTTTAAGTGTTAGACATGGATCCATCCTCTGCTGTGAGACATCTTCTCCCGGTCCTTCTGCTCTCTCTTCACCTTCACTGCCACCTCCTTGTCTGGGCCGCGATGGACTCCTGCTACGATGAGGACGGCCTCCCCAGCCGCTGCATGCCAAAGTTCGAGAACGTGGCCTTCAATCACACCGTGGAGGCGTCCAACGTTTGCGGCTCCCCACCCGAGGACTACTGCATGCAGACCGGCTCGACGCGCTCGTGCACCTACTGCAACGCATCAGACCCAGAGCTGAGCCACAACTCCAGCCTCCTGACGGACTTCCACAGGAACGAGGAGCCTACGTGGTGGCAGAGCCAGTCCATGTTCTATGGGATCCAGCACCCAACTTCTGTCAACCTCACCCTCCACCTGGGTAAGAGCATCCCTCGCTTGGTCTGACCCCACCCCCCTTTCCTTAACTCGCACTGTCAATCGTGGTGGATCTCACTCTAATATGTGTGTTCTCAGGGTTCAATGATGGTTTGTTTTTATAATATTACATAATGTCCTGCTTTATTTCAAAGTACTTTGAAGCGTTTCATGTGCACATCATTTTCTGTGTCCAGGAATAGAATATTAGTGTCCACTGAAAGCAAATGGTTTCCAGGGTAGCTGCAATTGAGTGTCATCAGTTCATTTTTATTTTCTGTGTGGCGGACTACATTGTTTCATGCACTGCAAGAGTATTGATGGGGAAAAACTTTAATACGAAGCAGATGTCCTTAACAACACATTATGGGTATTATTCACTCACAGCTCTGAGCTGTCGTCATGAAGAAAAAAGAGAAATCTTTGGCCCAGACAAGGATTATGTGTGAGTGCATAGCCACAAGGGGATGTCTGAGAATGTATATGGATTTAAAGTGGATAAAGAAGAAACACTGAGTGAAGGCCCACGTTTAATTTCATTCAGCCCAAATAGAGTATTGATGATGAGACCATCCAAATCTGTCTGGAAAATACAATTGAATCTCAAGAGGCTTTTTAAAAAGGTATGATTTGGGCCCTAACGTGATTAGAATAAAGTCAGAGCACACAGAAACCTTGGGCGAATAGGCCACAGCCATAAATTCAACCTGTACCTCATCATTATAGCTTGAAATCAACATCTCACATCATATCACATTACAGATGCTAAATTCATTGTTCTCATTTCATGAATCATAAGGTTTAACTACATCTGACTGAGAAAGAAACAGGAGCTGCTAAATACCTCAGGTCGTAAATAGCGAATAACCTGCAGGAATTAGTGTCTGAAGAGAGAAAAGAGGATCCAACTGTTCCTCAGATATTTGCAGTTCAAAAATTACATTTGCTTTTCATGGTGGTGAATTTAATTTGCTCCAACAGTCTTTTTTTTTTTTTTTTTTATGTAAAGCCAGGAACTTGGTCAGCAAGTCTGCTGTCACTTGAAATTATGTTCATGTTCCATTCACTTCAATGAAAGTTCTCACAGAACTTTTTCACGCATACAATTTCAAGCTGAATTCAGTGTTTGACCACATTTCAAAAAACTCCAAACATCTATAGTTATTACAGCTAATGCCAAAAGTCAATTTCAACCAAAAGGGAAAAAAGTACAGCGACAGAGAAATTGCACTTGAAAAGCTTGAACAAGTCAAATATATGCAAGTAAAACATTTGAATCAACTATTCCATGTTAAAGCTGTTAAGATTATCTATGCAGCTTATCCTTTAAGAATTTCAAGGGTGGCTGTAGCCATCACAGCTGCAGAGAAAACCTACACAGACACAAGTAAGACAGAATACAAACTTCAGACTGATTTATGGATTTTTTTTAGTGGTATCAGCATCAAGCCCAAAGATCCATTTTGGTCAGGTTTATAATTAAACTCTAAAATATTAAACTTCAATTGCATAAAGCATCTTAAGAATAATATATATCGGCTAATGTAGCAAACATTATAATTTTTTATGCACCCCGTGCCGCCAAGCTCTTAAAATCACATAAGTTAAATGTTTGGATGTTTGGTTTATTTGTGGTAAAAAGAGAAAAATACCAGCTAGAACACTTGAACTTCACTTGACAGCCAATATATAACCATGCATCCCTTTTCATCACACTGCATTATTTTGATGCCAGCGCAACAACCTTAAGGATTTCCTCCATCACCCACTCCTTTCCTTTGAGGGAATGCATTCGCCTCACTTTTTGTGCACTGCACACATATTTGCATTAGAAGACATTTCTCATTTTTACAAATTTTTATGAGCGCAGCCTGAGCCATTAACATCATTATCCCATTACCATGCTGCGGAAAACTGCTGAAAGAAGTAACAGAGCACATTTGTCACTTTAACTAAATTAAATTGTGGCGATTAATGTTACAAAGAATTAATACAAATCTTTCTATGAAATTACCTTTCCCACTTCCATTTATTTTCTCAGCTGTGTGTTTCAATGTGTGTGTTTATAACAGAGGATTTTATATCGACGAGGCTGTTCACACCAATTTGGGGCCCCGTGAAAAACAATTGCTCGGGCCCCTCCTTTATTATCGAACTGAATTTAATTAATAGTTTTTGGAAAAAGTACATTTTAATAAATTGAATTTGTTCCCGGGTTGTAGGGAGGCTTAAACAGCAATTGTCTTGCTGTTTACCCTGTCTTGTCTTTGCTTATATTCACAGAGCTCCTATCTGGTTCTGCAGGCAACACATAGGAAAATGTATGAAAACCCAATGTGTGTGAGTGTCTGAGACAGATTGTGTCCAATCAAGCAAATCTACAACACATAAACCTACACAGGCAAAAATTGCTGCTTTGCTTAGTCTTTAAGAAATTATATATTTTAAGAAATATGCTTATTAGCTTTTTAAAGATAATAATAATAATAATAGACAAAGTTGTGTTACTGCAAGAACCTACACTCAGCTGATCAGCTGATAGTGGTTAAGTCACAGGATTGTTGACCAAAAGCTAACCTACATTTGTATGAATGCCGTCCCTCAAATGACTAACCTGCTGAGATGAGAGATGCTACATCTGCTTAAACCTTCTGAAAGCATTCTTATATATTACAGATTTTTTTAAAGAAACATTTATTCAACGTAATTGTTTTATCTGTTTCATAGTCTTGTTGTTTTATCGTAATGCGAATTATTATTAATTATTATTATTATATGTATTATTATTATTTATTATTACTATTATTACACAGCCTTTGATCGCCAGCTCAAATTTGTCAATGGGTTTGAGTGTATTTCTCAGTGAACCTGAGGAACCTGAAGGAATATACTTCAACCAATCCTGTTTTGAACAGGATGCATTGATAAATCAAATGCATTGATAAATTGATCTCCTCTGTCAAACCTCCAGTGCACATGGGCCACATCACCCGTGGATCGAACTGTTTTCCATCTTGTTTATAAATTGAAGAATAATTCAGTTGAATAATTAAGATTTGGTTATAACCTGCAGTAGCTGTTTTTAGCCGCTAGGGGGTCAATGCAGACGAGTTGTGAACACCACCAACCTGAACGTTATGTCAACATGGAGAACTTGGTAGCAAACACTCACCTGTGATCACCTGTGTTACCAACTAAGTCACCTTTCCTGTCTTCTGATGGATGTAAATCGGAGCTGAAGGGGGACAGCTCAGTTTAAATGATGCTACATGTTGCTAAATGATGCTAAACGATGCACGTCAGCAACACTACCTCGTATGCAGCCCACTTTCCAAGTTGTTTAAGGTGGTGTGCATTCATTTTCTCATTTCCATTTTTAAAATGTATTATGACGCCATGTGAATGCATCAGGACTCCATAATGTGGAGGGTGCAGAGGTCAACGGGGACCAGACCATCCCTTCATAGGCCTCATTGTTCTTCTCCTCAGTTAAATTTGTTCTCTGTTGTTGCTTTCACGCATGAAATGAACTCACAACATCTTCCTGAAATTTGAGAGGCTGAATGTGAGAACGCAAATATTCCAAGGCAGTTGCTCTGGACACTTTGCCCGCCCCACAGTAACTCTAAGGTATCCATGTGGGAATACTGCAGGACAATGTCTGGAGAATTCACAGTGAGTGAGTGGGAGTGTTTTAAAAAAAGACAAAGAGAAAAGAAATATCTCTTTATGAAAAAGAAGTGTAATACATGCAGAAGATGTTAACTTGGAAAGACTAAGAGATTCAAGAGCTTTAGGGCCAACATTGGTGTAGATGTGCGTGATGTCTGCAGCAGATTTGAATGTTTTGCTTCCTCCATGCTCTACGCCTCCCCGCCCCTGAAGGCTCCAGACGTTTTCCTATTGTTGTGAACTTGTCTGACTCGGAGGATCTCCTGCTGCGGTCTTCATTTGTGAAAGGCAAAGTCAGGAGGATATTCTGACCAAGTTGTCCAGCTATTTTCCAGAGTTCATGTCTGAAAACAATTTACGACTCTTGTGTTTATGGTTTGTTGTTGTCATGCCGCAGAATGTTTTTTCCCTCTCAACTGACACCAGCTGCTTGCTCATGGTGGAAATTATTGCAAATCTCATATTGTTAGATCTAAACCTTACTGTTTAAAGCACATTCAGATAATGTGCATTATGAGGAGGCGCAGTATCATCAAACTGAACTGAATCTCCTGATGGTGGTGCAACCATTTCAACATCCTTAGTACCTAAAACCTTTGCTCAGTACTGTGTGTGTGTGTGTGTGTGTGTGTGTGTGTGTGTGTGTGTGTGTGTGTGTGTAGGCAGCTCTTGCTCAAAACTAGAGATTTTCTTGACAGGTCAGATCTCCTCCCCCCTCCTCTCGGTAGGTGGAGAATGGGTGCTCCCCATCAAAAAGCTCTGCTTCAAAGCAACCAGAGACAGGGACAAAATGACGACAGAAGTTGGAAATGTCAGAGCTTTGAACGTTGACGGACTGTTATGTCACGTGCTCTGGAAGCAGGAAGTGCTGCTGTCAAATGCAGAATATCGATTTCCAATAGCGAGCAGATGTCTGGCAGTGTTTTTGAGCCTTTTGATGTTTATAATCTTTGGCTAAAGCTCTTTTTCTCCAGGAGAAAGCTGCAAGTGGAGCTGCTGCAGAGGAGTTTTTTTTTTCTTTCAAATGTTGTCTGGAGGGTTTGTTGTTCTTCAGAAATACCAAACACCCACAAGTCAGTCTCACTCAGACTGAATTGACCTTTGCCCTTTTCCGCACTTCTCCACAGACATGTTTTCCTATTCCTCTGGATTATTGTACCTGCGCTCTGCATTCTAAAAATAAGGATGATTATGTTTTCATAACCTACGATTTTATGTAACCCAAAACCCCTAAATGTTGTATGTGTGGCTCTGTGATCCATCTGGGTTGTCGGTGGGGGGGGTTGTGCCTTAGACATTAATGTTTTCCTTTGCCTCTCCAAACACAACAAAGTCCCTCTAAAGGGAAAGACAGGCAGATGCTGGGATGATAAACACAGCTCTAGGATGCGGGGACACATATTGCAGCCAGGTCAGCGTGGGTCTGTGGAAAAGGAGAAAGAAGACGGGGAGTCGGGCTGCTTCAAGGGGAGTAAACAAAACATAATGAGGAAGAAGGAGCGAAGGGAGAGGGGGAAAAAAAAGAAAGAAATGCAGGGTGGTTTGCTGGTGAGGAATTGGGGTCAGGGTTTTCCCACAAAGACTTGGTGAGAGATAACACACGCACACACGTTCAACCAGCACACATTGAAGTCTACAGCTGGTTCTCATTCAACACCGTCAAAGAGAAGCAACATCCTGTCTCCCATGTAAAACAATGATAAAAGTCCTGCCACAGTCGGCGTGCTGCTCTCACAGTCCGATCTCCGGCGTGCGTATGAGACACACAACTCTTTGTACGAGAATTCATTTTTAAAACTTTGAGACGCTGTGAGATTAGAGAGGATAAATCCACTCATCATCTGTGTATTTGCTGATCACACACACACACAAAATCCCAGCTCGAGGTAAACACATTGAAAATATTGTGTCTACAGTACTTGTAGCAAGTTTATTCTAAGAATGCCTCGACGGGAGCAGCTGTGTCAAGCTGACATGAGTGACTCACAAACAGGTCAGACGCTGTTCTCCTGCAGCCCCCACAGCCCCACACTCTTAAAGTGGTCTACATCCAAACAGTCCTTCAATCACTGCGTCTGGGCTCTAACCAACGGCTTTGGATTGACTTGTGACATCACAAAATTCTTGCTCAGCCCTGTAAAGTCACAAGAAGCTGTTTTTACTGGGTTTCCTAACCGAAGGGAGTCCTAACTGAAGGGAGAAAAGTGGGAATTATATTTATCTTTTTTTTGTTTCATGCTAACAGGGCCGTTACTCAACATGCCTGTTAGTAACGGGCTGCTTGCTTGGCCCGTGAAGATGCTGGTTGCAGCTCATTTTAATTTCTGACACTGTAGAAGTGACCTGCAGTAAAGAATGACTGCTGCACACAGAGCTATTCAACTGCTTCTTTAAAATTCAGTGAAGCTCCTTTCAGGATGCAGAACTGGAGAATCAGTTGTTACATTTTTGTAATCTTTGTGTTTTTCATTGATTATCTAGACTGCAATATTCTAATTTGTCCCGTCACTTTCATGAACCAAACCTTTTTTTACACTTTGGAGTGTTGGAGTGTTCAGAGCTATTTGCAACGCTATATTTGTCACATGCTCACCCACGTTGTTGCGCTTTAGCGAGCTTCTGCACGTTCACACAATGGCCCATGAAGTCTGAACCGTCCACACAGTCAGACCTCATATTTTTAGCTGCAGCTGTGGCATGCAATGTAGTTCTGTCTCTCACCAGAGAACTAACCTTTCACTCTTTATTTTGTGGACATTGATTCGAATTTAACACATTTTGTGGAAAATACTGAAAAGTGAACAAATCAAATGTCAGAATGGCACAAAATTCAATACTGTTCTTCCTTGGGCCCCTCCAAATACACATGCCCAGTGTGAGGTTGATGAGCTGAACGGTTGTGGAGATATCAGAACCACATACAGACAGACAGACAGAGGCATTAGCAGAAAGATGTCCCTTTTGCTTTGTTAAAATCTAACAGCTAAGGAATCTTTCTGCTACATCCAGATAATCCTTATCACTCCTGAAAGACACTGAATCACGGTTCATTTAACATTGTGCATAAAAACACACAAATATCCTTTGCAATTAGTCTGCAGCTCATCACAGGAGGGTATTCAACAAATGTTTCATCTTATGCCTCTTTTATGTTTTTTTTGCCTCCGTCTCAGTGGGGCTGAGCTCACCTCATGCAGGGAGTAAATGAAAGCTAAATGATCTTTGGGCTCCTATAAGGAAGGATACCATTAGAGTTTGCTGCAGAGACAGAGTCGACCGTTTCTGACTTGGCAGGGAAAAGCAACAGATGTCATTACGGCTGTAGCAGAGGATCATCCCTGCATGAAAATGCAGAGTGACTGAGACTTTGTATCTAATGATGTGGAGAGAAATCCCCAAGAGTGCAACGAAGAAGACGCCTGTAAAGAGAGTTTCTGCATGTTACTACTGACTCTGGTCTCAATATGGCTTCGGTTCATGTCTGCTCTAATCCCCTCCTCGAGTTGCACAACACTTGGTAAATTCAGACTGCGTGTTTGCACTCGGGTATATTAAGTATAACTGCGAGTGCAAGAGGAAGAATATGTCAATGTTCTTACAAAACCAAAATAAGGATTCTCACATTTGGAAGCATTGGAAAGACAAAAAAATCCCATTAATTTAGGTGCTCTGAGTGTAAAATATGCAAAACTGTCTGAAAATTACATTTACATTAAACCTAAGCTGCAACAGCAAAGGAATTGCAATTAAATGACTGTACATTGTTAATTACCTTTATTTGCCTCATAATTAATTCAAAAAAATACAGTGATGGCAATTTCTACAAAATATACCTGTTGTTTTAATTAATTTCCAAGACAGAGGGTCAACCTGCAAAAGTACTTTGCAGACATTTCTTCTATTACAATGCAACACCAAGCATCTTAGTCTGATCTGCTAAATCCTTATCACAGGCCCAAATGGAAATCTGGGTGTATCTTTTCATTTTCTGCAGATCCTCAAAAAGAACAGACCCATTTTGAAAAGTGAAACCAATTTTCCTTTTTCACAGATTAAAGTCAAATCACTGTTTTAAGGGGGAAATACAGATCCATGAAAAAGTCACACTTCTTTCCCTCTAAGTTTCTCCTTGTTCCTGTGTACTGCCAAAATCGGAGCTGTATCATTCAGTCAAGGACATATTCAACCATCACGGCTGTCAGCGTTTTGCTTTTTTGAATAATCAAATTTTCTCTTGATCACATCTGTTGCTTTCATATCCCACCTCAAATGTTGCATCAGACTATTCCAACGATTCAGCACTTTCTCCCTCTGGGATTTTGCACTCATTGGCCTTTTTTATGTTAGAGCTAATATAAGACAATATACTTTTTTGTTTCTTTCTATTTGACCTATGTTTCACTTCAGAGGTTCATTATAATCTGGATAATTAGAAAAGAATCCTGGGGATTCTTCGACTCCTACAGGAATGACATTCTTTTACCCTGCACAGAGGCATGGGAAAGTAAGCCTGTCCCCCATTGTTTTCCTTGGTTCTATAATGCAATTATGTCTTTTTTTTTTCTTTGCTCGAGGGCCTTAAACTATCACCCTACAGAATTTGTCTCTTACATAACCAGCCTTGATCTAACCGTAGACTACACTGGATGCATTTTATACAGTTATTCTTTCTGCGATTCCATTTAAATCTAATTGTGTGTGTTCTCCACAGGCAAAGCCTTTGAGATTACCTACTTGCGATTGAAATTCTACACCAGTCGGCCGGAGAGCTTCGCCATCTACAAGCGGACCAGTGAGAGCGGCCCCTGGGTGCCGTACCAGTACTACAGCGGCTCCTGTGAGAAAACCTACCAGAAGCAGGGCCGAGGCTTCATCCGGACCGGCGAGGACGAGCAGCAGGCGCTCTGCACCGACGACTTCAGCGACATCTCGCCGCTCACCGGTGGGAACGTGGCGTTCTCCACGCTGGAGGGACGACCCAGCGCGTACAACTTTGACCAAAGCTTGGTGTTACAGGTGAGGCTGCATTTTAGAACAATACACATATATTAGTCAACACCCCTCCACTGATTGTACAGAAAGAACTAACTTACAATCTGTCATACAAATTTAAAATAGAATTTCTTATAAAAACTCTTTCTATCTTTTCCATCAACTTGTGGGTGAATGTGTCTCAGTTTGACGGTGTGAACAAGTTTTATCTAAAGGAATAGTTATTATTAATCTCTAGACTTAGGGGCCGAACTCATCACAAACATGAATTGCACATTATTTCAATGCTGTAGAACTCAAGGTAGTAACTGCCTACAATGCCTAAAGTGTGGCTCAAACCCCTCCTCTCCTCTCCCCAGCATTTTGACACAAACAAACATAATGTTGCTGCAGAGATATGCATGCCTCCGAGCCTTTTTTTAAAGCAGCTGAATCTAATGTTATGTTTAGCTCTGATTAACATTGATGAAGTCTTGAGAGTGCTGTGCCGAATTAATGGCAGCCTCTCGAGGGCGACTCTTGGAGGGATGGGCGCAGTAAAGCATGGCTAAAAATGTAAATAAAGCCCTTAATGCAGCCACTCTTCCTTTGACAGGGCTCTGAGTGTCCACGGATGTGCTCCTCATCTGCTGAAAAATCTTTAGTATAAATAAAAAATCTTCTCATTCATTACTGAGCATTGCACTGATGTGCGTGCATAGACGTATATACAGTATCTGCCATGAGGGAAAACAATGTATTTCCAGGTTGCATCGTTGCTTATAGCGACTTGTAATGGACCAAATATACAGTAAATGGAATCTTGTCACGACAAATTAAATAAGTGAGGTTATTAGAGCAGGGATCCTACAGATCCATCCACTGCAGGAAGCTTCATCATGATGCTAAATAAATTAATCATAAGAAATACCCCCATTTCTGAGCAGATGAGACATGTGCATATGTTTCCAGTAATAGCAGATCAGGATATAAAATTATAATTGTGCAAAGGAAGTCTAGTTACCTCTGATTTTCAGTCTCAAGCTAAACTCTATACAAGTAATTAGTCCATTGCTCATGTCGTGTATTCTTTGGTTCTGCAAATGTTGTAGGAGAATGACTGTGTGTTAATTCTAATTTGTTATGCCAAGTATATTAAGTGGAAAATGTAGTTGCAGTCAGCACTATGTTTGGATTTTGCGTATCACACGAACCCTGCAGCTGTTAGGGTAAGATGGTGGTCATACAAAACATAGGGCTGTGACACAAGGATTATATAATATATATACGTACGACATAATCAATCAAAAACGCTGTCAATCAAAGATGAGCTAACGGCAGTAATCATACAGGTCTATGACCCCACATAAATGGCCCTAGCATCTTAGATCCTCTTCCTCCACCACAGGATGTGATCAACCAGCAACAACAAAAACTCCTACCTTACATCTTCTACAATAATCTCCCATTAGTTCATAGGGAGGGTTTATGTTATGTTGACCCGTTTACAGTCATGCCCCAGCCCTGCCATGAGCTAAACGCTCCTTAAGACAATAATAATGATAACATGTTCCTCTTTCTGACCTTTCTCGGCACATATAGTGTAGAGATATGTCTGGAAATGCAAGTGTCACCTCTGTAAGGGAAGCTGTCCTCCTCCACATCATTAAATACGAAGAATAAGAATGTCTTTTGGAGGATATGTGGAGGGTATGCAGTGCAAGGCTGCATAACCAGCTCCCAGCCCTATAGGAAAAAAAGACATCTTTCTTAACTATAAGAACGAGGGAATGTTTTTGAGAATGTTCATCGCTCAGCCTCCCACTGTATTTCCTGTTTACTGAATAGGACTTTTATAAATCAATTATATATAGAACACTCAAAATACCAATATTTCTCCGCAGCTCTCTCTTTAAGTTTTGACACTGGTCTGTGAAACACGTTGTGTCTCAAATCTCTGAAAAAGAGAAACTGCTGAAGCCTGACTCTAGCAGAGAATTGTTTTTCTGTTCACCAATACTGGTGCTTTTCAGTAATGTTTGAGCCATTCCCGCAAAAAATATATTTAATCTGTAAATAACAGCAGTTTTATTTAGGTAAGATTAAAAACGTGAAGTGATATTATAATAAATGTAGGTTAAATCTTCAAACATTGACTTTATATTTGTAGGCATAACGCATATATCAGCTGATTCTAGCAGCTTGTCAAAGATGAGGATGTGTTGTGACACCATTGACTTCTTATTCACACTATTAAAGTTCCTTTTAATTATTGTTTAAAAGGGTGTGATGCAGATGACAAGACCTTGAGGCTACATATGGTATCTCTGTCTGCACAAATGCCTTAACCCCTCCCAACCGAACACACTCATGCCTGGTGTGCCGGATGCTGTCTCGTCATAAACCCCCCCCACACACCTCTCACTCATCAGGCACGGCACTGAGAGTGGGTGACATATCTTCAACCTCCGACAGAGTAGAACGAGGCAGCCTTCCCATTTTTAAACAGGGGAAGGATGGAGGGAAGACAGAAGTGGTGAAGCCACATCAGCTCTCAAGCATATGCTAAGCTGCGCTGAGCAGCAGGATAAAGACGTTTCCTCCTCGTCTCTGCTATATGCGAGGTCCCCGTGCATCTGCAGCGTGTGAAAATAGAAATAAAGTGCACTATTGGATTAGCTCCAGTGCCGCTATGGGCTGGGCACATTGTGTGGCAGGCTGCTGTCAGTAAGACGACATGCAGCCGCATGAAAGAGGAATCTGCACGCTGGACTGGATTCGCCTCCTGAGCTTCAAGTCCAGAGATTCTGCTCTATCTGTCTTGCAAGGACAACAAAGAGAGTGAATTAAAATAAGTGTGAATTAAAGGGGAAAAGATATTTCTGTGGCTTAGCAGTAGCCACACACACTCTGAAAGTTTCCACTTCTCTCATCCACCCCGTTATTCCCTGATTCATCCCTTTTCTTCCTGCTCAGTGTGTATTACTTTGCTTCACCTCCTGCTCTGCTAGTTCTACTTTTTTTTTTGTGCTTGAGAGCCGTTTTAAAGTGCTTACAGGAAAAGTTCGAACTGCAAAGCTTTTCTCTCGTTTAGAGATTATTAAACTGTTCTTTTCTGATTAATCCTTTCATACTCGCCCTCTGCCACTGTGCCACTCCTTCCCCTCTATCTCTCTGTTATAGAAATGTGGAATCTGGCAGGCTGGGACAATAGCAAGCAGAAGTCTGGGTTTGTCATGATGTACTGGATCGACCCATAGTCTGCTGACATTTTGTGAAGTGAGCAGTGTTTTGCATGGGCAGTTTTTCTCACCACACAAAGATTATGCGGGATTACGGAATTAAGGACATTTTGTTAAGGAGGCACTCAAGGTTGAGTCAATAGTGTAATAAGATGAAGAGCATTGTGGTCAGGGTGGACACTTGCCTTAATCTCTAATGACACAGATCCTGTTGTAAATCATGGAAGGAAAAGAAATGGAAAAAATATATTGTTTGAGCAAAACAACCTTTACTTGAGTTTATCTCACTGTTTATATTCACTTGTTTGTTCATTTAGCCACAAGTGATGGATATTTTTATTCATCTTGATCCGTTAATTATACGGTGTAATCTAAAAATCCATTCCTTGTTAAGTGAATTCATACAAAAAAGCACTTTGTTGTGTGAACATGCAATGAATGATCATAACATAAATTTAATGACTATTTTTAACCACACAGTCATTCTGCAGATGGCAAATGTCGTAACAGTGGTTCCACCACTTTGGAATATGTCAACTATTGGAGAGATATCCAGACATTGATGGTTCCCACAGGATGTAGCCCAGGAATTTTTATTTTTTATAATAAGTTATCTGCACTCAACATTTTTAATTCAAAATATATAAACACATATTCAATAAATAAGCTCTGTTTAAAATGAAAAATGGACCTTGGAGGGACAGACTCTAAGACTAGATAAGCCCCTTATTGAATCACATTTGAATTCAATCGATCTGGGTTTTTATTAGGATCAATACCAAGTTGCACACACTCATCAGCCAATTAAATATGCCAGATTTTTTGTTCAAGACAGTGAGCAAAAAAATTCCTGGATCCACCTTTTTTTCCATAGCTGCAGCAAAATGAATGGGTTCTTCCTTGGCCCATGACTCCACCAAGTACCAAGGAAATAGACTGAGTTGTTTTTTGTGGAATCCTGCTGAGTGAAAGGGCAATTAAAACACTTTTTTGTATCACTCTATCGATTTTAAACCTCCTTAAATACCCAGAATATTGTAACATGTCCTTAATTAAATTGTCATGATGAGGTCATGTAAAGACACAAAGTCTGTGTCTGGACGTGTGACTGGCCTTAGTTACATTAAAAGATTACTAATGGTGCTCCTGGCTGTATTTCCGTATGCTTTGGATGTCATCGACCCACTGATTATAAAGCTGCGGGGGATCAATATAAGCCAAGAATACATAGATTGGGTGGCAAATCTCTCAACAGACCTGCCAAACACCCTCTCTCCCTCACTCCACTGCTCCATCTCAGCCTTCCTCTTAAACAACAAGATGAGAAGGCCCATAATTGACTGTGATCTGTCCTCCCATTAGAATAAAAAGGCGGATCAATTTCTTTCATTAAATCTCTCATCCACCGTCTATTTTAATGGTGATGGGGCAGCCGGGGATCGTGTGCAAAGACAAACACACATGAGCCGTTCTCTTGATGCAAAACAGTGCGAGTAGAATGCAAAATAATATTTCTCTTTTGTTTTTTCTCCCACATAGTGAATCATAAAAATAAAGTTGAGGTATACTCCCGCTTGAGCTACAAATACTACAAAAACAAGAAGAAAACAGGAAGCTCAATACAAAGGGGCGGGGATGGGAGTAGTCAAAAATATCATTCCCACAACAGCACTATTTATTGAATATAAGAAGAAAGGTGTAAAAAGGATGGAGGAGAGGGGGAAAGGGAGGGAAAACATGGTGAGCTATTTGTTTTAGACAGTAAATGCAACACCATACACAAATCCAAAAAAGCACTTCCCT